TCAAACCTTTCATCTTCCGATCCGCAGATATCGACTGAAATATATATATTGTGAGAATTCATAAAGAGGAAAATCTCAAAACGATATGTGAAAGAGTTCTGTTCCTTAGAGTAAAACTTTATTCTTGAACTTTAATAAAGTACAAGCAACGGTAGCAACTTTCGCAGGGTCAAATTTTTCAGAGTGTGAATAGAACTGTAACCGACACAGGCTTTTACAGCCAGAGTCACGTTTAGCAGAATCTGAGCTGATAGGCCTGGTGGAATGGAATTTAGCATCAAACTTTTCGTCTGTTACCTTACAGTAGTAAATGCGTTAATGCATTGACTATGAGGACGAGGTTACTATCTTGAAGTCTTATCAATGACTGACTTGTTCTTTCTTATTCAAGCTGTAGAGTATTTAGCTGTAGATGCGAGAAATCTTCTAGAAAATGTTGACAAAAATTTGTTCGAACAATTCAACGCCATTATTGCTCAAAAACGGGGGATAAAAGATAAATGCTTTGAGAGGATATTTTAAGGAAAATGTTTTGCATCAATTGTATTGAAAATACTAAGAGACTTCTTTTTACAAGTTCTAAGCACTCATCTGGAGGTTACATATTTGAAACATATTTGAAGAAATATAAAGAAAGAACTACTAAAATTGCAATAATAAAGAAATAAAAGCGCGAATAATTTTCAGCTGAAAAAAAATGTGAACAGGATATAAACTGTGGAGAACACTCGGAAAAACCTGATATAGATGCAGAGCCTTGAGAACATCCTGAATTGATTCATTTGGAGAAGCAAACTTTGGCAAAACTAGCACAATGCATCAAACAACAAGATGTGATTACTGTGTAGAGTTTGTTGTACGAACATATATTTCCCAAAGCTATAGCTTGGGGATGGAATAACGAAGACAGTGCCAAACGTGCACTAGAAAGACAATATAACATGACAATATCCGATTGTGTCCTTTTTTTCCATCCCCAGAAGGAGTTACATTTGGAGGAAATCTAATGTTCATTTTCAACCAGAAATTTGAATATAAAAGAAGCAGTATCACAATATAAAATCAATTATTCAACAGACATGAGCAAAAACGAATATATTTTTTTTAAATCAAAATTATTTCTACCATGTTCAAGGGCAGTTGAATATATGGTCCAAAAATATTGTGAACAACATGGGTTCATCCAGAATAAATCAACATCAGGCAACCTATTACGTTAAAGCCTTAGATAACAAATCACAAGTTGATTCTATATACATGGATTATGCAAAAGCATTTGATAAAGTTAATGACTTCCTGCTGATTGGTAAACTCCATATAAAAAGCAGTGATTGTCTGTTCAATTAATTTATTATAACCACAACACTTACATAGGGTGGCAGAGAATAAATGTGACAAACTTCAGGGGGTGATTCTGCATGAAAAAATAATGACAGCTTGCTATATAATTTTGATTGCAAATGCTTAATTTTCCGACATACAGGGTGTTCTGATTAACTATTCATGCTCTGAAACCACTTGAGATAATGCAAATGAAATTTGGTTAGTGTTAGGATGTAGTTATTGCGCTTTTGTTGAAATGGAATTAAAAATGTTATGTTCATCATTGGCGCTCATACGGGTAATGATCTCAATGATTTTAAAGTAAAAAATGGTTTAATTTGTGATAAGAAGTGGGACACCGTTTTTATGCAAAAAAATGAAACATCTTGACAAGTATAGGAATGTAGGCTTTCACAGCTGGCTTCAATGTTTTGGTTGGTTTCCAGGTTTTGAGAATTGCACAATGAATCTCAAAATTCGTGTGCCATCTTTTTTTCTCTACTATAGAAATGTCATTGTCATCAGTAATGCACAAATTCAATAATTTACTGGAATATCTGATTTCTTTTCCATTATTTGAAATAAACTCATTACTAGTAATTTGTGTTATGAAATTCGTTTTATCAAGTTGGTGTACATTTTTTAAACATTTTGACTCCACTGTAGGCTACAGAATATCATAAAATGCAAAGTTTATCGTTGATAAAGGAAGATAGATCTGAGAAAAGCATTCGTCAAAACTGACTTTTGGACACTAAATTTAGAGTTGGAAATTAGTCTACTTCAACTCCTGAAGACCCCACCTTGGTTAGTGAAATACTCCTCGAGAAGAGTGTTGCAGTTCTGGTGTTTAGAAGCAGTGCTTGTTTTAAATTCATTCTACGCTGAAGGTTCCAGTGCTACCTTTCATTATTATTATGGTTCAGTTTATTTGAATTATTTATTAGCATGCAGTAAAATTCCTTGTTTCTCTTATGTTGTAGAAGAGGAATATTTTTATTATTACTTTTGTGTTTCGTTGATTTAATTTCATTTGATTTAATTCCTTTATATGTTGAATTTTGTTAAGAAGCCAGTTGAATGTCAAATAAAAAACCTATAACTTGTGCAGTTGTCAGTCACTACAAAAATAAAATATATAGAATATTTGGATCTATACACTGTGTCCGTAAAGTATGGAACAAATTCATTTTTAGCTAAACAGGTCATTTTAAGAAATAATCCTGAAACACGTCGATTTTTTATGTTAATTTACCGTACTTTAAAATAATAATCTAATATACAGGGTGAATTACGTTCGAGTAATGACGTCACCGTCATTTTTTTTAAATGGAACACCCCCATTTTGTCTCAATTTTCGGATTACTCTAGCTGAGCTGATTCCAAAAATGTATCACATGTTGATTCCAATTGGTACAGGGTGGACAAAAATACAGTAGTTGTGTGTGTG